AAAAAAAAAAAAAAAAAAAAAAAAAAAAAACAAAAAAAGATGAATGAAAAACGACTTGAAAAGATCATTTTATTCCATGGCAAAACAAAGTTTACCGCATTTGGGCACTTGCTTGTCTTCTGCTTCTGGATAGAAAGTTAAGTTGTTTGAAATCAAGAAATATGATAAATCTTCATGTAGTGCTTCTGAGACTGCACTAAATTTTTAAATAGTAAATCCCTCTATTATTGCCGAGTGAAGACAGATTCTTCAGTTGCTGATTTATCTATTAGGTGTATCTTTTGGTTTTACTTTTTAATTTAATTATTATTAAAGGCATGAAATTTGGTCTCAAAATGTGTAAATTAAATGATGCAAAAAGCCGTTTACTGTATCAATTCTCCTTTCAGCGCGCAAGTTTTTGGAATCCATTCAGTTACATTCGTATCCTCTCCGTGTCTTCAATTTATTGACATTATTTTAAATTTAATTTTGTTAAAGTTCTGCTTTTAACAAAGTGGAAAAAAAACCAAAAAAAAACAGAAAAAACAATTGGTTGATTGAATTGCTAACATTTTTACATGTAAGTTATTTGGTCTCATTCCATTTGCTGAACGAAGATGTTCCAAGAGTTCTGGCTAAATGACGAAAAATCGAATGGATTAGAGTTGAAAATTGAAAGAACTTTCTTGTGTTGATATGATTTGGAAAGTTTTGAAATATTATAGCAATTATCTTCTAAATACAAAATTTTTTTTTTTTGAAACACTTTTCCTGTGCGTTTATTCTTAAATTTTTATAAATAGTTATTATCATAATGTTGGGTGGTAAAAATGTCTTATATCAATGTACTGCCAAGTCTGTTACCTGTATTTCAGAAAAAATTTGGATTTTTGCTTTTTCTGTTAACAACTTTTTTGCTTTCTCCAACTCACTGATAAAGTTGGCATCAAATGCGCATGATTCTTCCACGTCTTCATCTACAATTCAATTCTTTTTCTTATCGCTAGTAACTAATTCTGTGCGATTTAGACACGCAGAAGGCATTTCCTCTGGAAAAAAAAAAAAAGAAGGATATTAACCTGTTGGAACGTACGTAAATTTTAGATGTAGAGACGTGCCAGTATCTTCAGTGTAAGCAGTTTTAAACAGAAAACCACATATAGTAACAATATTAATATACTGGAAGATCATGCCGTCTTTATGCTACAACCTAAATTTAGTAATTGTAAAACTGATAATATCTAATCAAAAGAAGGGAAATGAGATGTTGTCACAAAGATGTCAGCTTTTCAGCTATTTAATCTTGAATTAAAACATGATTTTTGTCAAATACTTGCAAAACTGTAAGATCAATAATTGGTAGAACCAAAAAAGTTTGTACTTGAAGCAGATAAACTTGGGAGAAAAGTAAGTGTAACCATAAAAATGAACACTTGAAAAACGAGTGAACTGATACGGCTTGTTGACCTATTTCTTTGAAATACAAGCAAAAAAAGGTTTGCAGAGAAATGGAACGATGTGCTGTGATGCAGAAGTTGCAAAAATTATAGTTTATCAAAACAGTGTGATCTTTTTTTAACAACTAAACAGGTGTCAAGTGTCATAACCAATTCTTAACTGTACGGTACAAAGTGATTTTTGCTTCAGTTTCTTCTCTCTCCTTTGTTACTTCAGATTTTTGTAACTGCTAATGTTGTTGTTGCTCTATTTTTTTTCTGGTTAATAGCTTTAGCAAATCAATAAGAATAAAAATTCAATGAATCAACAACTGAAGAGTAAACAGTTAATAAATAGAATAAAAAATAACAGATAGCTGTTCTAATCCAACTTAAATTTGTCATAAACAGTTTGTCTCATTTAGACAGATAATGTAATGTGCTTTTTGATTTCACACTGAATTGAAAGACAGTTTTGTTGAATCAGTTTTACAGTGTTAATTTCGCATATTATGACTTTTTTCATAAATAACAAATTGAGCATGCTTTTTTTTTTTTTTTTTTCAATCTACAATTGAGGCTAACTACTTTTCGTTTCTGGAAAAAGCTTCTTTTAATTCGGATTAGCGATGTTCTAATGTTATATATTTTAAC